ATTCTAATCATTTCGAATTATTTAGGTCCGATCTTGGAGCTCTTTCTTAAACCTTGGACCAGGGCTTTGAGGTGCTGAAGAAGGCCCACGAGTTCGTGAGGATGCTCGGACTTCACGAGATATGACGGCGCTGTTCCAACCGGTAGGGTTTGGGTTTAGGACGTAAAGTGAGTTGGAGGTTTCGGGGTTATAGGGTTTAGGGATCGAAGTTTCGGGTTAGTTCTGGAGGTACAAAGGTTGTGGAGTCATGTGTGGTTTCAAATTAAGCTTTTCTTGTGTTGAGTGTTCAGGCGTTCGGAATGTAGGGTTTCAGGTTAAGTGTTCCTTGTTTGGAACCGGCCTATCTACAGGTTTAGGATTTTCGGGTTGAGGGCTTTTGAGGCTGTTAGGATCCGTGAACCGGAAACCCCAAACCCAAAAAGCCCTAAACCGAAAGTCTGTCTGCGCAGCACAGCCAGAACAACACTGAGCAAGGGGACGTCACCCTCAGCCTTATGCCCTGCTCCCGAACTCTACTTGTCGCATCTTGAGGGTTTCATTGGCAGCTCTAGTTACATGAGTGCCACAACGGGATGGCCTGTAATTGTAGTTACCTATTATTCTAACCAAGAAATTTTCCAGCTTCTTCTCTGTATTCCAAGGCCTCTCCGCGCGAGCAGTGGCAATGTCGTGGCCTCGCTGATGGCAGTCGCAGACCCTGTCTCCTGGCAGAGAAGTTGCAGACCTCAGTTTTCAGGTTTCACCAGTAAGTATAGGGCCTCGAGGGTGTTACGGCTTATGGTGATGATGATGATGATGATGATTGTTGGTGCTCAATTTTTCGGTGTTTGACTGCGCTGGTTGCTTTGTTTCTAAGCCTTCGTGCTCAAGGCTTACAGTGATGGAACTTGAAATGGGTTGTGTCAGGAGGAGGGTTCGCAGTTGCTAATGGTTGTTCTGAGCGATTGCTGAGGTTCGCAAGGTCCTATGTAGCAGGTTGGACGGCCCTGGCAGGACATAGGTGTTTTTCAAGAATGTCATGTCGCAACGAACCTGTTGATTGACCCTGAACGCTGGAGCAATGGGCAGCCTAGCTGAGGACTGAGGCGGTCTAGATCCGTAGGATTCCGGAGCGGCAGTCGCAACCTAAGTTTTTGAGGATCATGTGAAGGATCCTCATCGGGATTACAAAAGCCACCGTCCGTATGAACCCTCATCCGGCTGAAGTTTACTATATCCTAAACCCGAACCCCTCCTTAAGCCAGCATCACCCATTCTTCTTCGCTTTGTAACGTTTCGTGTTGGCGCTGGAATTCGAGCCCTACAAACAGATGGGTCATGGTAGTTTAAAGTAGAGGAAGTTGTGGGTTCGCCCACCACGGAGAGTGCAATATGCTTGAATTCCATTCATTAAGAAGCTTTCTTTCTGTTAAATGAGACTTGTGATCGGGGTTATTCATGTAGTCGCTCATGAAGGGCAATTGGGCTCTTCGTACGTAAACAACATTCACAAACCTAACAGTCCTCAAAACCCTGATGCCTAAACCTCAAGCCCTTCTTGAGCCTCTGCTGGCATCCCTTCCACCCTAAACCCTAAACCCCTAAACCAAGCCGTCAGGAGAACTGCCTTATGAAGTTGGCATATAGCACCTACAGGCCGCTTGGACCTCGTGGAGAGGGTCTTCGAGACTGGTTTCAGACAGTTTCTATGAGGGGTTTCTCGGAGAGGGAACTGAGTTTAAGTTGCTGCAGTAGGGACACTAAAGCCTCACAGAAGCTTGGCGTGTTTCCTGTCGCAACACTGTTTTGCTGCATGTTTTGATGGTAAAGTTTTTTCCAAATTGCGCGTGGGTTCTGAATGTTGAATGTGGAGGGCTGCAGAATTCAGAACTTTGTGGTTGGCGAATCGGTTTCGACAAGTAGCACCAGGCTTCCACAGCGCTGCGTTCTGAAATCCCATGCCCTCGCAAGAACACAAAGCACCCGACCCCTCCGTCCGTTTCGTCTGTCATGACACAAGGGGCTTGTGCTTGTTCCAAATTTCTCATCGTCTGTGACATGACGCAGGCAGCACTGGCACAATAAGAAGGTATTTGCGAAATCGTGTGCCGCACATTGATAGCACCTGATCCTTTTGTATCTAGCTTTTTGGCTGCACCTGTGTGTTGCACAAAAAGGCCTTGATGCTTCGTGACCCTTTGATACCGAGGGCTTCTAACGAGGATGGCTCTGGAGTCTTCGTCCCCAATCCCAAGTTATCTCAAGAACTCCTACAAAAGACATTAAGCCTTGGAGGGGCATTGCAAACTATGGCACCCATAGCTGTACTTAGGGATGTTGTTTCAAGCTCTTGCCACACTCAGAAGCAGGCGAAAAGAATCGCGAGCTTCCCCAAGCACGAAAGACTTCGAAAGCTCCAAAGCCTAAGCTGCGGACCCCTTCACACCTGAGCCCAAAGCCTGAAACCCCTAACCCTAGACCTGGGGTGGAGGGTTTGGGCATCCTCCTACGCACCATCCTGGAGGATGGACAGCCAGGGGGAGGACGACTACCCGTACTTCCCGCGCAAGTGTCGGGGTCCTTAGTATAGCTCGAGTTTGGAGATTTTTAAGAGTGAAGGCCTAAGGTTTCGGGCTTAGGGCTCGGGGTTTAGTAGGATGGGATCCAGGGCTTCGTGTGTAGGTCTTCGCTGCTTATAACAGTATGCTGCGAATCAAAGGCTATGCAAGTTTCTCTGATTTTCTGAAGCGCTTATATTCCCACCGAAACAACGGCATGTCGTTCACTGGGGCAGGCTTCCCCAGGGCGGGTTTGTGCAGACTAGGGCATACCTTAACTGAGATAGTCCGAAGAGTCAGCAGAAACCATCACAAAGAAATAGCCTCAAGAACAAGAAACCGCCAGTCAAGGCATACAGTGCTGCAAAGAGAAAATAACATGTTTACGATAAACCTACCTCGTTCAACTCAACTCTTGGCCTTGCGATCCTACACCTCACAACGATTCATGCACCTGGACGTGGCCAATCATTGAGGGGTGTTCCAGCTTCGAATGCCCTGGTACTTTTACTACAAAAGCCCTGAAACCTAAACCCCTAAACCCTAAACCCGAAATCCCCAAGCCCGAAACCCCCCACGCGCGACCGTGCATGCTATCGGCGAGCGACAGACAGCGCGGAGCACCGGCGCACGGACGAGCCCGAGCAGCCAGGTTCGCGGGCGAGGGCCAAGTGCATCCGGTGAAGTTGGCCTGCATGGAGGCACTCGTCCCAAGTGCGCCTGCGTCAGCAAGCCGAAACTACATTACCGCAAACCCTCGCCCCGCCGGAATTGACGCAACCTCGGTTCGCAGTTGAGAGACATAGCCCACCGCCAGTGGCAGCGCACGACACCTATGCCCAGACCTCCCGACGAAAAGCTTCAAGCCACCAGTTCGTCACTGCGGCTGTAGTATCTTTTTCCAGATCCGCTGCAAGCCAAATCCTTCCAGAACGCACAAGACAAGCCACCTAAGAGGCTTTCCAACCGCGAAAAAATCAATTCCAGCCAGAACAAACAGGCTGCTGCAAGCCAGCCCAGCCAGAACCCACAGGACAAATTTGAAAAAGTCTTCCAGCTTCACCGCCACGAATTATATTCAGCGAAATCCAGAACGCAAAGGACCAGCCTTACGAGATCAGCCACCCCAACTGCAAGACATGCAGGGACGAGAGGTGTGGTTTAGGGTTCAGGGTTTCTTTAAATGCAATGGGCCCTTTCTCCTGCACTCTCGACCCTGCCTTGTGAAAGGGTTTAGGGTTTACGGTTAAGCGTTCGGGTTTAGGGTTAGGGTTGAGTGGTAGGTGAAGTTTAGGGCTTACGTCGTTTGGGGTTTAGGGTTTAGTGCTCCGTGCCAATTTTACGAAATTTAGGGTTTAGGGAGCAGGGCCTAAACCCAAACCCGAGGCCCTCCTCAAACCTAAGACTCAATGGTAACAATTCTGCTCAGGTGGAGATGGCTTCCGATTCGAGACTGGCTCGCTGAACTGATCGCGTGGCGTGCCCTAAGCCCTCAAACCTCAATCAAAAAGATTGCGTACAGATGAACATATATATATATATATATGTATATATATGTATATATGTATATATGTATATATGTATATATGTATATATGTATATATGTATATATGTATATATGTATATATGCATATATGTATATTTATACGGTATGGTATCGTGTTTGATAATGACAGACATAAGAGCAAAGATGGAGACAGAGTTTTGAATAGAAGTGTAATTATCAATGCAATACACATACAATATTGTCACAGTAGTATATGTAGTATATGTAGTATATGTAGTATATGTAGTATATGTAGTATATGTACTATATGTAGTATATGTAGTATATGTGTATATATATATATATATGTTTATATGTAGTAGCATGGTACACATATTTGTATATGTATATATATATATATACAGATAGTTTGGAGGATCGGCTATATACGGTGTAGGGTTTGGGGCTTAGGATGTTGGGCAACATAAACCTTCAAATGCTTCGAAAAAATGATTTCAACAGCCTGAAAAGCCCCAAGCCATGACCTCCAGGCCTTCAAGCCGGTACCGGAGCGCCTTGAACGCGAAATTCCGGACCCCAACTCCCAAGAGCGCTGTGACGCCCCCGAAACTTCGAAATCTTATAGACTCACAGTCTCACGGCACTCACAAGCGCGCGTCGCCAAGATAAAAGAGTCACTGTTTCGGGGTTCAAGGTTCTGCGGATTTGTGGGCACAGGTTTAATCTCCGAGTGCCAAAGGCGAGAAGTCCTGGTAGCTTCATGTTTCGCATCTAGTAGTTTTTGCTCCGGTGAATCCACCTGGGATGCTCCAAAGCTTCTCTGCGGCAGCCCCTCGCCCAAACCCAATTTATCACGGTATAACTTCTTGTGAACCTCCAATGAACGCAAGACACTTACGACAACCCTTGAACCCTTAACTACTTCAACCCGAAACCATGCACCCTAAAGCGGGAAGGTGCACCATGCGGCAAGGATCGCAGTCAGTCGACACAGCAGCGGCTGGAGCCCCTTTTGGGTGACCTGAGGGCTTAAAAACTAAGCTTGAGCCGCAGATTTCTAGGCTTCAGACCTTAGCCAAAGCCCTAAACCTTGACCCATCCGAAACTGTAAAAGCCCTAAGCCCCAAGCCTTGAACCCGAAACCCTAAAGGTTCCCAACACGTAGCTTGAAGTCCCAGACGCGGCTTTGCAAAGGCTAGCAGCCTTTGGGCTTCGGGTTCGGCATGACTCAGCTCGGGGTACTCCAGTGAGGATCGTTGTGTTCCTCCAATATGGGCTTTGCGAGTCTCTGGAGAGTTGAGATTTCCTTGAACCCTATCCCAAAGTCATAGGTTGGGATTTCGGGGATCCTCTAACTCCGAAGCCCCAGGACAGGAGTCTTCGCACCTAACCTCTAGCGTGGCGCCATCCAAAGCCTGAAGCCCTAGCTAGGCCCGTAGGCCGTTGTCCCTTCTTCGGTTGGATGGCTGGTAGAGCCGGGCAGTCTTGAAACTTTTCGCCTAGGGTTTATACGAGGTGTGGGGCTCCTTCAAAGGGAGGGTGGGGTTTGCAGTTGTGGGTGGTTAGGGTTAGGGTTGAAGGGTTTCGGTTCAGGGCGATTTTGGGTTTAGGGTTGAGGGTTTGAGGATGTAGTGTTCAAGCTTGACGGGTCAGGCTTTGTCATTGGGGCTCCTTTGCTTTCCAATACTGGTGATTGCTTTTCGTGGAAACCTTTACAGTGAGTAGCCGAAAAGGAACCGCACGCAAGACCTGTGCCCTCGAACTGAGACCTGCCGTAAACTGTACATTCTAGGCATTCATCCTATACCCTGAGTCGTAAGTCTTGAAACCCAACCGAACATCCTCAAGCCCCATGGCCGTCAACAAAAAGACAGGACCCCTAGACAGATTCTAAACCCTATACACCCTAAGCCCACAATAAAAAAAGACAAACGAAGCTGAATCCGGCCAAGGCATCGAAGTGAAGGGCTTCGTCTCACGGCTGGTGGACATCTGTGATGACCCCATGGCCATCAAGGCGTGCAGTTGCAATCATGAACGTTGATGATCAAAATTAAATGCCTGCGTTCGTAATCATAATAACAACGATGATATTTCCAAGGGCCAGAAGCAGTAGTCTATCACCGTCGAAAGGATCCTCCACATCATCGCCGTGCTAGTGAACCATATCCTCACAGCCGTTGACAAGACGACCGACGTCACCACAAGCATCAAAAGCAACCGTTGTCAGTTTCATTATTAATGCCCATCGACCACGAAAAGTCGCATCGTCAGTGATCAACCTGGCGGAGACACTTATCAAGTGTTTCTCCTCTAGCACCTGAAATGTTGAAGTAAGCCTTGATCATGGTCTGCCACTCCTTGCCACTCGTCGTAGAACCTGTGCCTACGAGGTTAATGCTTGGAGCAATATTTTTTGAGCTTGAGCTGGTTGCAGTGCGGTTTGGTGAGCTGTCTCCACGGTCTCAGAAGGTGTACGTGGTTCAGTGTCCACATGAAGTAGGGCTGTGCATTTTCCGTTTCCCCAAACTAGCTCGCCAAAACAAGTCAGGCTTTCGGAGTTCTTCTAAGTGTTTCGGCTTGAGGCGGCCCTGAACCCAAAACGCAAACCTTCAACCCTTAGTGTTGAACCCCAAAGTGAAATCTTAAATCCTAAATTCCAAGACCACGAGCCTTGAGCTTTGAACCCCAAGCCTTGAGAACCTTGCGCCCTAGATGCGAGCGACACCTAGAAGCTTGAACACCAAAGCTTCTCTAGGAGAATCTTCTACTCGTGATCGATTCGATCATGCGCCACGCCGAGAAGGAAGATGTTAGTGCCGCCCGTTTCCCAGAAGTGCTGTGGGCCAGTCAAGCATCATCAGAATGTAGTTGGCTTAGAGTTGAAAACCCATGCATGGCTTAGAGTTTGCTCGTTCAATGTAGAATCTTTCAGGTTTAGGGTTAAAAGTATGGTTTGCTTTGGGGGTTCTCGGTGTTGGCGAAACGTGGTGTAGGCCTGGGACCTATGCAACTTGAGTAGGGTTTCCAGGCCTGCCGTCTCAAAACAAGATTTGCACCAGATGGTCTTGTTGATGGCTGAGACTGCTACATTGACATACAGATTTACAGACGAGAAGATAAGGAAGATTGGCTTTGTGATTCGTCAGTTCCGTCTTTCTCCTCGCATGTGGCGTTGGTACCTTGTCAAGCCCTCGACAAAAGAACCCTTAGCTCCGTTCGTTCTTTCGCTCAAGCACAAGAAAGAGGCCATCCGAGCCTGTCGGTCAAGTCATATTCTAAAATCTCTTTGCCAAACAGGCATGTTTCTTGGGTTTAGGGTTAGGTTTCAGGGGTGTCGGGGTTCAGTCTTCAACCCTGACCCCTGCTTTCGAATGCCCACACTGTCTGAACCCTTGGCCCCTGCCTCTTTCTGAAACCCAACCCAAGCCTTCTCAAGCCTTAGGTTCCACCCGTCAGCAGCAAACGGGAGGTTCGAGAGCTCGGAGAAGCCCAAATATGAAGCCTCAGCTAACTCAAGGTATGGTGAGTTTCCGAAACAAGGAACCCTAGCATGGACCCTAAACAGTAGGATCCTTTCATAGGGACCCCGCACACATGTACGTGTGGTCTTAAGAATCTCTCATACATCTTCATCACGCAGTTGACGCAAACTCTGGGTGCCGTCCCCTTGAGGTCCGAAAGTTCGAGAAAGCTTTCGCGCCGCATCTCTACACCCTCTTTGGCGCCTGCGTGAAAAGCGCCTTGGCCCGTAAGGGGCTTTGGGGTTCAGGCCCGATTTCCTAAAAGCCCTTAAGCCCCAAGCCTTGAACTCTAAGCCCTAAGCCCTGCCTCCTCAAACCTTAAACCTTACAAACGCGTAAGGGGGGTTTCGGATGTTTCTGGGGGGTTTGCGAGGGCGCCTTTGCATGCTCCTCTCGAGGGTGGTTCCTTGCTTCTTGGGGATTCAGCCGGAGAAATGATCAGCGATCTGTCCCCTTTTAGAGATGTTGAAGTCCTTGGCAACGCAAGCAGCCGGGCCCTGGACCGCTGAACCGAAAACCTGCGAAACAACCCAAACTTCTACAACCCCCGAATTCCAAAATTCATCTTCAGTGTCGACTGCCGAGTCCACGGCTTAGAGCTTTCATAGTGAATAGCCCACGCCAATTCTTCAGGGTTTATCTTGGGGGCCTCCGGTTCTTTGCCACCGTTTATGTGAAACTTAAACCCAGAAAGCTTGAGCCATAGGCCCGGAACCTAAACACCCAGAACCCTTAACGCTAGGCTCTAAGCTAATGCTATCTGTTACGGTTCAGCTTTCCCGAGCATCCGGGGATTTCTGAAGAGCTCTTGATGATGGAAGCTTCCTTGGAGTGTCGTCGGGTTTTCGGAAGGAACGTACTGGACTTCGAGCTTTCTTAAGCTTTTATGGTTCAGGGTTTGGGTTTAAGGTTTAGGATTTGGGGTTGAGGCTTTACTTGAGAAGGTCTAAACTTATGTTTTCTGTGGTATTGGGAAGTAGGTTAGCGGGGGAGCAAGATAGGGTGGCGGGTCAAGAGTTCGGGCCTTCAAGACTTGGAACACACGATGAGGACTAATGTAGCCCCATGGTTACCAACCCCGCCTTGCTCAAGGGCCTTAATGTTAGAATCCATCCGCGTTCCTGGGAGGTTCATTGACCAGAGTTTTCAGTTTAGGGTTCCTCCCACCCTGAATGCCGCATGCCCAAAGCATCCCGAAGCGGTCAAAGTCAAGCCTCCGAAGCCCTAGACACCTTAAAAAAAAGGCCGCCCATAGACCCCAGAGATTGTCTTCGACGGCGCTTTACGCTTTAGGGTTTAGTTCAGGGCATAATCTGGGAAGCCTCAAACCTCACATTGGAGTCCTGACGGTGCCTTCGTTTCCTTGCAGCTCAGGTAGTGAGAATAGGCCTGGATTTGTTTGGGCATCCGGACCGTCGATGCTGGGGTTTAGCGGTTAAGGTTTAGGGTGGATGAGCATGTTGTTCGGGTCTCATAGGGTTTGCGTGTCGTGGGGGTTTTAGGGTTCAGAGTACATGCTGTAGTTAAGGATTCATATGTATAGGGTTTAGGATTGCAGGAAGTTTTTAGTGTAGAGGGTTTAGCTCCGCGATTCCAATGTCCCTCATGCAAGAGCTACTTATCAATGTGAAGGATCGTTGCTACATTTGTGTCAGAATTGACTCTTCGGCTGGTTCAGACCCAGCTTCTTCATGTGCTTCTACGAGGTTGCAATGCGTGTGAAGGGAAGTGTAGGGTTTGCAGGGTAGTTTTTTCGGTCATTTTGTTTGCAGCAGAATGCTCCTACAATGGAGTTCTTACGCAGTACCTGGCGACAATACACGATTCTTACATCTAGCCAGTGCATCTTGTGCTGCGCTCGGTCTGATTTTTGAAAGCTTTCCATGCGGAGTTTGAGGCGTTTATATTTCGGAGTTTACTGCAAATGTATTCCTTCCATGATGGTCAAAGCCGCATCATCCATCGATTTGCCCGTCAATCCGATTGCGTGGAGCGCTACTTCATACGCTGGCCCACACGAGCATGCTTCTCACCCCAACTGATACTACTGCCCGCCCAGCGCATAGATCCTGGCAACAAAAGCCCTTGTATAGCCTCACAGTGTTTTTTCTGTAGCTACCCGTGTTAAACCCGAGACCTCAAGCCCTAAACTTTAAACCGTCGACTGCGAAGAAGTAGGGGTGGACTATGGAAGTCTGAATAATTAGACATACTATTCCTCAGGGTTCCATGCTATACTTATTGGACAACATACTCTAAATTGCCTTGTTCCACATATTAACCGCCCCTGTAGTTATGCTTATTAAATCGCACGCCTTGTGCGTAGTAATCTTGGAAACAAACTGTTGCAAAGAAAGCCTCAGGTGGATTCAAGGTTTAGGACTCAGGACCCTTCAGATGCGAGCTGGTCCATGGCAGGTCGCAGGTGGCGACGTACCTGCTGAAAAAGTTAGTGGCGGCCTCAAGAGACGGAATGGCTTTCTGTCTGGATGAGGGCCAAGCCCAGGGTTTGGGGCTGTAGAGGGGTCTTGTGACTTTCTGAAGGTGAATCGCCAAAAGTTTGGGGCTCTGCAACAGACGCATGAGATTTCATGCTTATTTCCAAGGGTATCCTAATTGCTGGCAGGGTTGGAGGGCTTATGTGGGTCCTTTGATCTTAGAAAGAAAGTCCCCAAATCTTTTTCATACACCCGTGCGACTTGGTAGGACTTTGAAGTTGGTTATTTCAGGTTTAGGGTTTTACGATGTTACAGGGCTTACAGAACCCGCTGCCAAGGCAACTGCGTAAACAAAGTGCCACAACCCTGAACTTGGTATCCTAAAGTCCCCAAGCCCGAAACCTAGCAGGCGCTCCAAAGCAAACCCTGCCCCCGAATACTGTCCCATACCCTATATACCTTAAACTCTCATCCTACAAGGAAACCACTACCAGGCCGAAACAGCGCGAACTCTGACAGAAAGATTAAACCCTGGTCCAATTCAGGTTCCCTTCTGGAAGGAGAACGCATGGTTCTCCAGAGAGATGCTCGCAGCCCAGCGTTCTGCGGGCTTTCGGGTTCCTGCTTTTTTTGTTTCCGGTTTTCGGGATAGGTTTTCAGGATCGAGGTTTGGGGTTTGGGGCCCCAGGGTGAGGCTTCACAGTAGAGCGCAAGCGATATTCATGGCTGTTCACGACATGATTATGATGCTTTCTGGGGTTGGTATCATAGTGTGCTGATCGGTGCTTCGGCTGCGGTGCTCCCACCACGACCCCCTCTTCGGGTTAAAGCTTTAGGCGAGATGGGGTCTGGTTTTCTGATTTCAGGTATTGAGTTTGAGGACGGAGAAATAGGTCTAGGGCTCACTGATGTTGATCGCTGATTCGGGTATTTGGTATCGTGGCTTTTGGATGACTGAAAGATTGAAGAACTACGTAGCGTTTATCTCAAAGCTCACCCCTTTAACGACGGTCGTGGTACACCTGACCCCGGTCTGGAAGTTCGGGGAGTAGGGGGTAGCTGCATATGTTTCTGCATTGTGTTGTGTCTTGTTGCAGTGCTTGTGGCACTGCATAGGTTGTTGTTCGGGACCTTGTGCTACAGTGCCAAGCCGCCTTTTTTCGGTCGCCCGAAAGCCGAACGCCGAGGCCGAAAGTTATACATCTTCTCGTGTCACGACCTCAGGGGAGAGGAGGGCTTTTGGGGGCTTCGGGGCTGTAGGGCTCAAGCTGTCGCGTTGAGGGTCTAGGGGTTCTGGGTTTGGAGCTTGAGGGTTAGGGTTTAGGGCTTTGTGGTCGGGTTTGGGGTAGGGTCTAGGGCGGTTCGAGTTCATTAGGGTTTGCGGTTTCAGGATTAACACAAGGGGGAAAGAGCAGGCCGTGCAGCCGTGCAGCCTGGCTACGGCGCAAGTCAAAGCAGAGTTTGTAAACAAGCAGAACGAGGACTTGACCAAGCAGAACCAGGACTTGCGGAAGCAGAACGCTTTGCTCCTAGCACCAAAGCCAGCGGTACAGCCTCGAGAGATATTCGTGAAAGACAAAGTGGAGGCGACACGAGTCTACAGCACAGAGTTTGGGGCACGAATGTAAGCGGAAGTGCGGTTGGCACAAGTGCATCACTGTGCAAGCCCTGAAGGGAAACCCAAGCTCTTCAATCTGAAATGCCTTCAAGCCCTAAACCCCAGGGCCCTCAGGCCAAGAATTCCACGACCCTAAATCCTGAAGCCAAGAGCTTTTTAGCCACAATCCTAAAGCCAAGAACTTTGCAGGCCTATACCGTACCGTACCGTACCCCGACAACCTAAACCGAATAACCGAAATCCTAAATCCCGAAATCCTGAGCTTAAGGAACTCCCTTCTAAAGCCGCAGTAGATCACTGAAGATCAGCCCTGGTAGGCTCTGTACATGTCCTCTTGCTGTGACCGCCTGTAGCGATTCTCCGGTATTGTCATTCTGCCGTTGTTGCATAGTATTCCGGTGCCTACCGTAGTTCACACTACAAATATAACTAAACCGAAGGCCTCATCCCAAAACCCAACGTCCTCTTCGGAACCACGTGCATACATTTATATAAATACAAATATATATATATATATATGATTATATATATATATGTATATATATATATATGCATATGCAGTAGTATGAAGCAAAACAATATGTAAGATGTTCCCACTTGGGCCGATGCCTCCCAAAGCCAGAAACCCGAAGCACCGAGATCCCCAACCCCAGGTAAGAAGCCTTAAACCCCTCCCTCCAAATGCCTGAGCTTCATGTTGAATAAGGGGACCTTCACCTTACAAATTCCGCCTGTTACACCCAAAGCTTGAAGAACGAACAAGAACCCTAAATCCTAAACCCTGAACACTAAACCCTGAACCCTGAACCCCAAACCCCTAAACCCTAGACCCTGAGCCTTAAACCGTGAACCCCAAACCCCAGCTCCTCCTGGCATAGGTCCAAGCTCAAGGAGGGCGAGAGGCCCGGCGAGAAAGGACCGAAGGAAGAGGCGGCTTCGGGTCTTCTTGCCTTTGGTTAGTAAGGAATGGAAGAATGGTAGTAATAGTAGTTATATTTGTACCCCATTCCTCCATTCCCTACTAACCAATGGGTAAGTCTTGGAGTTCAGTGTGCCAGTGTTTCTCTTACAATCATTGCTGTCGCCACAGTAAGCTGAGAGAACTTGTCATGGAGAGTGCCGTCGAGGCTGAAGGGCTCCCTGATTCTTAAGTCCTTGGGTCGTCTATCATCAGTGTGTTCCTGTTCACCAAAGTCTGGGATTAAGGGTTCAACGAGTGTCAGCAGTAACAACGAAACACTCATTGTAACATGCATGAGCAACTAGAAGCTATCAGGGAAAAAATGGTCGAACTCATCTTTTACCAAGTGGCCAACTTCACAGCGTGCAGAAGCTTTTGCCCTCCTTAGTGCAAATCGTTCAAAGAGCTCATAGTTTAGGGTTTTCCAAATGCCCGGCGCAAGGATTAGTGTAGAATGTACCCAGAGCCCTGTTCTATGAAGGCTTTTCTATTCCAGTGAAGCTCAAGGCAGATCCTCACGGTTGTACGGGTAACCATGAAAATTTTTCCTTTCAGAGGCTTTCGAAGAGGGGCAGGCCGCGCAGGCCGATGCCGGCTTTTCGAGGGTTGCTGTAGTCGAGTAGTTATAAGTAACTATAAGTTTATACCTTCGGGTTTTGTCGCATGTGGTTTTCGGGGTCAGGTTGGGTGATCAGGGTTTTCAATTATTTTTGCAGCGAGGGTCCCGCTTGTTTGGACTAGACAAGGGTCTTTCTGTTCGGAGGTGGGAGGCCACTTCAGTGTAGCTGCCTGTTTGCGGTTTGCTTCGGGGTGTAGGACAGTGTAGGAGAGCTTTGACCCAATGATGATTCGGCCGGCACATCTCACATCCAAAGTTGTCATGTAAACCCGAACCTGAATCATGAAGCCCCAACCGAATCTACAGGCTTCCCAAGTCTTCTTCACCTCAACCCTACACTCTTTACCTGTGCCTGAGGATCCTCCTGCATCCGAAGTTGGAACATCCTAAAAGCCGTATACGTCCACACCGAAACCTCCTGCTCCTTGAGCCCAGAAACCTTGAGCCCGGAACCCTTCACCGAAGCTTTGACCCTCGAACCCTTAACCCCAACAACCCTTGTCCCTGCAACACTTTTGCCGCATCCCGAACCTCCAAAACCCCAAACTCTGCAAACCCTAACGCCCCAAACCTGTGATTATTTGCCATACACCCTAGATCCTAAAACATTGAAGAACCATGGCCCCTGAGCATATCGGGATCATTAACGAGAAATCTGGCCAACCCACAGTTTGCGTTTGCCCACCCGCCCGCCTGCGCCCGCCCGCCCTGAACCCTAAACCGCACACCCCTGAACATACCAATATTGAACCCCCAAACCCAAAACCCAACCTTGAACCCCCACACCATAAACCTTAGGTGTCAGAGATCCCCAAACGTTCAATCCCCAAAATCCTCAACCGCTAAACTCCTAAACCCTAGAACTCAAGTGACCCTCTTGGAGGCTCGGGTGCCCTCGAAGATGAAGGCTCGTGGTGTAGGGGCCGATATACAGTAGTTACCAATACTGTTTTTGGGGTTGCTGTTTAGAACTCTAGTATAATGGGCCCTAAAGCTCTATTCTGTTTACGAAGGCCCCTATATCAGCGAATTTAGCGCTCAAGGTCTGCGCAATGTTCTACGGTTTTTTGGGTGAGGCGGAGGGTTAGTTGTTTTAACCGGAATTTTGCAACTTTTGGCCCTAGTTCAGGTCCTCCTATTGACAACCGAGCTTTTTTTCCTCCTGCGGTTGTGTTCGGACTTTGAACATGTCAGACCCGGCGGGAGTTTATGGTCTGAACAGGTTCTGTCACAGGGTTGAAGGGAGTCGTGGGATGTGCCGTAATGTCTGGTCAACTGGTATCTACACCCTAACCCCTCTGACCCCAAACCCAAAACACTAGCCCCCTAGATGTGTTGACACCCTAAGGTCCTGCAGCCCCAATCCGGCCCTAAACATTAACTCAAAAGTCTAAGGAGTCGCAGTACTCCCTGTTGGGTCCCTCTCCACGCCCCGAACCTCAAATCTTGCAGCCGTAATCCGGTTTAGTGTTCCAAAGTTTTAGGTTTGTTTCTGCAGAAATAACATGAATTAGATTTCAGAGCATTTGGGTTGTAGATTTCTCAGAGGTCCCATGGAGATGCTGTAAGGATTTTCAGAACCAGGGTTATCAGTGGGCAGATGGCCTTTCATGTTGGGTTGTGTAAGGGTGTAGGGGTCTTACAGGGGTCGCGACATGCAACATCTAGACAAAGGAATACGAAGCTTACACAACTGAGCTGTGGGATTTAGGGGTTCGGCAACGCGACTGGGTGTTCAGGAGTACCCTCATAAACTTATGGTTTTGCGTTTCTTCGTGCAGCTGAAGAATAGAGGAAGGGGGTGCCATTAGTTGCAAGGATTGTTCTTCTGCCTGTTGCAGTCCGCTTGTTGACAGTATCGCTTGCAGCCAGTGTCTGAAAAGGTCGTCGTAGTGATCGTAGCATTCTCTTTTTGCCCTTTGCAGTTGTACAACCCCACACCCTCTGCCAAGTGTTAAGGTCCCCTAGATCAGCGTCTGGTTCAGGGTGAAGTTGCTCACGCTGGGTTTAGGATTTGAGGTGTTTGTCGAAGGTCAAAATATCGGGTCAAGGATCTGAGGTTTCAGATTTGGAGTTAACCAAAGGACATTTATGAAATTTATGAATCAGTTTGGGGTCCTCCAATGAACCGTAGGGTTTAGGGTTTCGGAGTTTTTAAGGATTTGGGGGAAGGGTTGAACCTCCAGGGCTTGGGTGTTGGAGACATTCTCAGGCCAGGGTGGAGAGCCGGGCTGAATCCCAGCACCTGTCGGTTTGTATCTAAACTCAACCCCGAAGCTTTGCAAACAAACCTTCTTTTCCCTAAACCCTAAACCCTAAACCCTACACAATAAACCCTACATAACCCTAAAGCACAAAAGGGCCCAGACCCCGACCCGCAGGGGCCGGCGGACTCGAAGTTGCCGGAGGCTCCGACGTATGTCGGGACAGAGGAGGCGCCAGTTTAGGATGCATTGGGGAAGGTTCAGGGATCTGTAGGGTTTAGGGGGTGGTTAGGAGGTACGGATTTGAGACGAGTAGGGCTGTTTAGGTTAATGTTTGAAATGGTTTGAGGGTAGATTCTTGGAGGCCTAAGGGTGGAGAGGTTCAGAGGTTTGCATGTTCATTTAATGCTGATAGTTGTGTCGTGTGGTTACGAACGTGTGAATTGACCAGGGTGGAGTCATAAACGAATAGTCTCGAATAGGCTTGAGGGTTTCAGAGCCAAAAGACCACGCAAAAGCATCAAGCATCCGATACGTTGTTGGGCATGGCTGTGGAAGCTGTTGCCAGGATTATGGCAAGCGGGGAGGATCCAGAATCCAGAATCGGGCTCTGCTCAAGCTGGACAGGGCGATGTGCTACAGCTTTTATCTTGGTGTGGTGCATGGGCTGGCGGTTCAATGTACCTAGAAGCTTATAACTATTAGTCAATATTACCCTAACACCCGAACCCCAAGCCAAATGCCTCACAGGCCCTAAATCTCTGGAGCCTGTGGTGCTAGAACCCGAATCTTCCTCCTACATGTCATTGGCGGTACAAGCCCAAACCCAATAACATAAAGTAGTGTGACCTAAATGACCCTAGATGGTCGTAGTCTCATACACCTCAAAGCCTATTCAAGTCTTAAGGCAACACCTCAGAATCTGAAACGTGACTGCACCCGAAGTTAGCCAAGTCCTCCATCTGATGTCCGTCGAACACGGACAGCAACGTAACAATACAAGCACTTCCACTCCGTGATTACAACTACGCAGTTTAATAACCTGCGGTTCCATCGGCAATCGAGACTTCCTAAGGCCTGAACCCTAAACCCTGAAATTTCAGGGTTTTGGTTCAGATTTTAGAGATTAGGGTTCAGGGTATAGGGATCAGAGTTTAGAAAGTAGGATTTAAGGTTTATATAGGGAAGCCCTAAGCTCAAAACTCCCAAGCTTCGCTTGGAATCCAGGCTGCTCCTGCGCCCATGCCCGGGCTGATACCCGAGACGTCCCTTGGGCATGAGAGGTTTCGGGTTTTTGGGCTTTGGTTTTGGTTGTTTTGGGTTTAGGGAGTTTAGTCGAAGAGTTCCTTTACGGGCTTCTGTTATCGGTCTCTACAGGTCTACAGGAGCTATGATTGAGTGTTCCTTAATTCACGGATCTTCTTGTCTCGGGCTAGGGGTTTAGGGGACCGGAATCTAGAGACTTGTCTTCGACTGAGGATCATGGACGTAGGATTCGATACACTTGGAGGTTGAGGACCACGTCCTTTGCTTTTTGGACAACAGCTCGCATGGCGTGAAGTGTGTAAAATTGCCGCTAAGGCTTACAAACTCTTGCTTCTAACACTTGCGACCATAGGGTTCAGGATTTAGAGTTTAAGTCTTCAGAATTTGTCAGTTTTGGGCTCGGATACGAAAACCCAGTGGCCCTAAACGTTAGGCCCTGAATATGAAAGAGACCTTTTCGATGCTGAACGGCTTGTCTTTCCATGCTGAACAGAAGAAGCTTGAACCCAGAACCTGAGACCCCAAACTCAAAACTCTGAACCTTGAATGCCCCAAACCCAACACTCTACACCCGTGAATCCTAACCCCCCGGCCAAGGCTCTACTCTCCTGAATTCTCAACCCCTGGCCTCTGAAGCAAAAAGCCAAAACCCAAATTCAGACCGAGGCCGGCGAGCGGAATCATCCCGCGGACGCCGGCCACAATCCCGGGAACGCCGGGCTTCCCTGCAATCCCGCCGACACCGACGCTTCGATTGCAAGGAAGAAGCCTGGGTTCATACTTGAGATTTTAGAGATTATAGAGTTTCAAGGCCGAAATCCCTAAGCCCCCGGATCTCCAAAAGCTTAATTCTCGGAAGCTCGAAAGCCTCGAATGTATCTCGAATCCTAAACCCTGTAAGTTTTATGTTTTGTGGGCCTGATGGCAGGGTTGATTTGGTTGTACAAGGGTTTATGGGACACTTATCGGGGTTTGAGAGATTACTTTCGAACCAGCTTGACAAGCGAATCCTGCATAAGGGCCCCATGACCAACATAACTACAGGGTCGCAGCTGATGGATCAGGAGCTCGAGAGATCTGCCAACATACTTTGCTTAGGGAAGAGGGTTCTTAGATCAGACATCCTAACAAGGGGAGTGTAATCGTTGGCGCCTGTGGTGTAGTGTTTTCAAGAGGCGCTTGCAGTCATGCCTTTCTTGATTTTTGGGTTCTGGGTTCCATAGGCTTTGTTTTCAATCTTGGAGGTTCAGGGGTTTCAGGGTCTGTGGTGAGCGGTCGCTGGTTCTTGGGCTTCTTTTTAACAACTGTTCCGCCGTTCTTTCAAGTTTGAGAAAGAAGAAGCCGACGGAAAAAGCCACGCCTCTTCGATGGAAGGAGCACGAGGAACAGGTTCAGGATAGCGATAGTTCAACTTGAAGCCGCTCTTTCCAGTATCGTGATGGAGATTCACCTTCATTTCCCGATTCATGAACAAGATTCGGCCCGGATGTCGTTCTGAAGGAGCTAAAGAAGATGCAGTGGCCGATCCCTTCATTCAGGCTTCAATCCTCAAATCATCCTATAGGGATCCGTACAGGGAGCCATGCGCGAAGCCTACAAGGCTGAAAACCCCAAAAAGGAGCGACGGCAACAAGCAAGGCAGCAAGACGCAAGCAAAAGCCTTGAATCCCAAAATCTACAGAATAGTAGCCCAAGCCCTAAACCCCAAAGCCTACTCCCCTAGAGCCTAAACCTCCTGAAGCCTCAAACCCCTAGATCCCAAAATCCACCCGAAAAGCCCAGCAAGCCCAACAACAGACCGAGGCGCACAGTCCCGGCAACGCCGGCCGACAGCGCTCTCATACCCCAAACGCCCGTGGACAGGGATGATAAGGCCTTCGAAAGCCGACTCCAGTCCTGCTGAAGTCGGGGGCCTTTTTGAAGGAGGGTCGAAGTAGGTGAGTCGGGTTTAGGCATCTTTGGTTTGTTGAAAGGGAGGCCTGGGGCAAATTTGAAGGGAGGGCTTGGCTCTCAAGGTCTTAAGCTCAGACCCCGAGGCCCAAGGACCCCGGGTTTTAGAGTCCACCCAGCCCTCAATTCCGAACAATTTTTGTGCTTCTGTAGTGCAGGAGCTTCCGTGGCTAGGTGTCTGAGGTTCCATCATAGCCGCAAGGCTAGCCTAGCCCGAGCATAGAAGAGCTGGCACAAAAGCTAGCCTCGCTCGAGCCTTCTTGCGGGCTTTGGGCTTGCGCACACGACAGGATGGAGAAGCAGAAAGCCCTCAATGCTACTCACCCTTACACCCTTGAACCTCTTCGTTCAGGAAGGTTTGGGGATTCTAAGCTTCCGGCTTCGTCTTTGGCCGTCCACTCTTACCGTGTTGGGTGCACAGACGGCAGAAAGTGGGTGTTTAGGTTTGTTTGGATACGAGCACTGCTAGAATCGAGAGCGGCAACCTTAACGACCTAAATCGATAACAGCCAGCTTTTCGACCCCGCAGCCAACAAGTTGAGCCTCACATCCAACCGACGACCCAAAATTTGCCAAGCCCAGATGATGCCTAAACCCCCTAAGCCCCGCAGAAGCAGACGGTGCGTCGGCCAGGCGCGGCCGGGTTACCGGCCCTTCTCGGCTTACAAGGCCTACAAGGCACGCCTGACATGCAGGTCTGAACAGCTAGTAGCAGTATTCTCACGCTCTTTTTGCACGACATAGTTAGGTTTTTCATTAAACCCCATGTTTAATGAGTAAAGCCCCTAGATTGCAGAACTCGTGAGTTTCTCCCATCCTTTCTGATCCCTGCAAGAGGTTACCGGTTACCTTCTTGGCAGCCCAATGTCACCGAAGCATTTCATGATGCTAAGCCCCCGAAGCTGAATCTGCAAAGCCTGTTGCAGGTGCTTTTGGTACAACAAAAACACCGCCCTGATACACCACCTGTCATTGTCCCTTGTGACGTTCGCCATTGTTACAAGTGGCTCGGGGCCTAACCTTTTTTTTACGCTGTTGCGATGTTGTGGATGTAGCCTTCCCTTCGTCGTTGTAGCTAGTGCTTCCAGCCAGCTTGTAGATTAGTAACATTATTTATTCCCTTATCGTCCCAATATAGTCAGAATTACTAGAAAATTACCTGGAAACCACCGTTCTAATTGTTCAGACCTTTACATTGGAGTTCTTTCAGCCCTGAGCCCCTGCAAATATAGAGGAACATGAGGTAGAGGTCTGAAGAATTGACATTCATGTCTCCGTACTGTCTTTACCTTCTACGCCAACGTACCCACGACCCTGTTCTAATTGTCGATGCCATTATGTCACCTTAACCGGTAGAAGGACCCGCTCAACCTTTTCTCGTCCTGCTTCAGGTACCAGTGCCTTTGGTGCCACCGCCGCAGATGCCGACAGCAGACGACCACATGAGCCACACCCTTGGATTTCTGGGGCTGCTCTGGAGTTGTTGTTATGTTGGTAGTCGTGGTGGTAGTCTGCGTACGCCGGGCTTTGCAGGTAACCCATGAGCTATAACCGGGTCTAGGGTGTTGGGACAACAATTATGATCTCCTTCTGAAGAGCCTCCAAGAGCATCTCCAGTTTAGCAACCAGAGTTCAACCAATTTGTACCTTTGTCTTCGTGCCCTGCGACTGTAAGTTGCTACCACCCAACACCTTCACACCCACATCGTACCCTGAACCCACTTAACACACCCAAAGACAGGCTTTTGCTACTATGACCATTGTCGTCGTTCGCGCTACTACTGCTGCAAGGTTTTATATTGCTCTGAAGGTAAAATCTCTCCGTGGAATCCCCAACACTTCTGCACTGCGAAACCTCTGGCTACACCAAAAATCTTGAACTGCAGACACCAGACCCCAAGACTTTCAAGCCGCTCATCCCTGAAACCCCTCGACCTCGCAACCTCGAAAGCTCGAACTAAATCCAGCACCCCAAACCCGGAACCCCAAAGCCAAAACCCTGAATTCAAAACCCTAAATCCCAGCCCCCTGTTGGTAAACATTCCACCCGAAGCTTTGAGCCGTTGCGTCGAGGTGACTACTCGCCGTCGGTAGCAGCGGGGCACTAAGAAGGGGCAGCGGGTTCTTTGAAGGGTTTCTCGAAAGGGGATTTATAAGGAGCTTTTAAACAAGACCTATAGGGGATCTATAATAATAAGAAGCAGCCTTTCAGGTTCCGTGAAGGGCTGTTGTGAGGCTTGCCATAAGGTTTATTGCATGGAGTTAGGCTTTGGGGCTTTAATTTGGGCACTCAAGAGGTGGAGAGTTTTAGGGTTGCCGCCTTTTTTTCGTCGGTGGTGAGGTTTGGGGCCTCGAGGCCGAGGGACTTCAAGGCTTCTGGGTCTTTTCAGAGTTGGATGGTCTTGGGGGTTTAGGGCTTAGGGTGTGTCGCAGTGCCACGGCGCGCCCAACCCAAGAAGTGGTCGTGGGTCGCGCCGTCTTCGTAACGTGGAACCCACCTAACACCACCCGAAGCAGGACTAGAACAGATTTTGCGTTCTGCTTCTTCCATAGCCGAACAGACGTTGCAATGTTGGGGAAGGCCAAAGGGACATCAGAGTGATGTGTCACCGTAGCGGCGACGTCCTCGCCGGAGTCCTCGCCGTCCATTGCCAGAGTCGTCCGCCAGCCGCCGTCAGAGTCGTCCGCCGTTATGTCAGATCGAGCCATCTGCCGTCCGAGTTGGCTGGCCGTCCCCGTTCCTGCCTCCGTGCCAGACCACAGAGTGGTCCGCCGTCCCCGCGTCGTCCGCCGTCCCCGCCAGAGTCGTCCGCCAAGCTCATTTTGTCGCGCGCCAAGTCCCCGCCAAAGATCTCACGCGCCAGGGTCGCCTGCCAAGTGCCAGGGTCTCGCCGCCAGTCGCAGCCAGAGTCGAGCAAACCGCTCGAAAGAGAGTGGAGAATTTGAGAACAAGGAGCAAACCGCTCTGAAGAGATTAGAGAATTTGAGAACAGAGCGCAAAAAGGGACAAGGGAAATGTCAGTAGAGAACTTGACAAAAGAAAGAGATTAGATAATCTGAGAGCAGGGCGCAAACTGTTCAAAAGGGACTAGGGAATTTGAGAACACGGAGCAAACCGCTCGAAAGAGAGTAGAGAAATTGAGAACAAGGAGCAAATCGCTCGAAAGGGACTCGGCAATTTGAGAACAAGGCCAAAACTGCTCGAAAGGGACTAGGGAATGTGAGAGCAGGGAGCAAACCGCTCGAAACCAGAGAATTTGAGAACAAAGAGCAAATCGCTCGACAAGGACTCGTCAATTTGAGAACAAGGCGCAAACTGCTCGAAAGGGATTAAGGAATTTGAGATCAGGGAGCAAACCGCTCGAAAGAGAGTGAGAATTTGAGAGCAAGTAGCAATCCGTTGGAAAGAGACCGGGGAATTCGAGAACAGGGAGCAACCTGCTCGAAAGGGGCTAGGTAATTTGAGAACAGGGAGCAAACCGCTCGAAAGAGAGTAGAAAATTTGAGAGCAAGGAGCAAGCCAAACGAAAGAGACTAGGCAGTTTGTGAGCACGACGCAAACTGCTCGAAAGGAATTAGGTAGTTCGAGAGCAGGTAGCAGCCTTTTCGAAAGAGAGTAAAGAATTTGAAATCAAGGAGCAAACCGCTCGAAAGAGACTAGAGAAATTGGGAACAGGGCGCAAACTGCTCGAAAGGGGCCAGGTAGTTTGAGAACCGGGAGCAAATAACCCAAAACGAAAGGGACGAGACTGGAGAACAGGGCTCACACCGCCCCAAAGAGAGTAGAGAATTTGAGAACCTTGATCGAACCACCTGAAAGAGTAGAGAATTTGAGAACAGAGCGCAAACTGCTCGAAAGGGACTAGGGAATTGGAGAACACTCGAAAGAGAGTAGAGAATTTGAGAGCAAGGAGCAAACCGCCCGAAACAGGTTTTGAGAATGTGAACGCAGGGCGCAAACTGTTCGAAAGGGATTCGGGAATTTGAGAACAGGGAGCAAACTGCTCGAAAGAGAGTAGAGTATTTGAGAGCAAGGAGCAAAGCGCTCGAAAGACACTAGAGAATTGAGAACACGGCGCAAACTGCTCGAAAGGGATTAGGGAGAGAACAGGGAGCAAACCGCTCGAAAGAGAGTAGAGAATTTCAGAACAATGAGCAAACCGCTCGAAAAAGGGTAGAAAATTCGACAACAAGGCGCTAACTGCTCGAAGTGACAAGGGAATTTGAGAACAGCAGCTAGGGAGCAAACCATTCGAAAAAGAGTAGAGAATTTGAGAACAAGGAGCAAACCAGTCGAAAAGACTACGAAGAAGGTGAGAATAAAGCGCAAACTTCTCGAAAGGAACTAGGTCATGTGAGAGCAGGTAGCACACCGCTCGAAAGAGAGTAAAGAGTTTGAGAACAAGGAACAAACCGCTCGAAATAGACAGTTTGACGACCAGGCGCAAACTGCTCGAAAGGGACTAGGGAACTTGAGAACAGGGAGCAAACTGCTCGAAAGAGAGTAGAGAATTTGAGAACAAGGAGCAAAGGGCTCGAAAGACACTAGAGAATTTGAGAACACGGACGTCCCCCAAATTTCTCGCGCAGGGAGATAAGGGTGCCCAATTTTCCTATTGTGCCCCATGGCTAGAAGTGCCAAATCAGGTCTGGCAGACTCGATTTGTTTGGCAAAGCAAGCAGATCTCGCAGCGGTAGTGTTCAGTGGTACCGACCGCCGCCTGGCGCGGCCAATGGTTTAGGGTTTAGGGTTCAGCGAGTTAGATGGTTTTAGGGATTTCGGGTTGAGGGCTCCAGGTTCGGCTTGAGCCTTTCGGGTGTAGGACTTCCCCGGGTTAAGGGGTTTAAGGTTTGGGTCGTGGTTAGTCGTTACAGTCTGGGCTTGTAGTCTACGGCCTCAGCGCTGCCAGGTTGTCTAAGCTAAGATGATTTGTTTCACGGGTCCCATAACAGAAGTACTGGCTAACCGTATTATCAAACCATGAGCGACACGTTCATACACACTCTGACTTTAGGAATGGCTGTGAACTCGCTTCGAACGAGCACTTGCCTCGAGTGCACATGCCAAGCCTCTCGAAGCTCTTGCCCGACATCTTCGGAGTGGTTCCATTGCACAGCTTCTGCACGCATAGGCCTGAACACCAAAAGCCTCTCAGAACCTTAATTTCCAAAACCCCACACGTAAGATTGAACCCAAACCTCCAGTCCACCGCCCTTGCCAGGGTGATCTGGTTCCGCCTCAGGCCGGGTTCAATTTTTGTCACGGGTCTGAATCATTAGTCATGAGTCATAAGGTACCGTAATGTCCCCTTCGTGTCCCGAAACAATTTTTGCATCATTTACCCACCCATGAAGGCATCGGTCAGAGTCTGGGCTTCAGGGAGAGAAAATGGGTTTGGGTTGAGGGGTTCTGCTCAAATATAAAGCCTGGATCAATAAACTTCCTCCTCGGTGACACTGTTTCCAATCAGCATTCTAATCTCAAGGCCCTATCACAGGGTTGGTAGGTCAGCCCAAATCATACTAGGGCTCTTATGTTAGCGCAGGAGATATCCTTTCATTTTCGGTATATGGGAAGACTTGGGTCAGGGACTATACCTGGATACTTCTGCAACTTATTCAGACATGTTTACTCAAACGGCGCACAGGACACTGGATTGCTGGGCTTCCTTTTGGGGTTCAGTTCTGTCAAGTTGGGTTTGAAGTTTTGGCTTTGAGGGTTCGTCGAGTTGGGGATTGGAGGGATGAGGATTTTGGTGTTTGCGGTTCATATCTGCTTGTTTCTTTTGAGCTTATGGTAAGACCCTGCCGCTAAATTTTGTTCAGTTCTGAACTAAGAAAAATTACACCAGCGAAGACCCCAAACAGAATGCATCGAATCATACCGGTTCAAGTTGGAATGTGTTGGATCCCAATCTGGCTTCGCCAGCAGATTTTGCGAAGAAGAAACAGGCATTGGGCGATATATTTCTGCGAAAGAAGAGTGGGTGGTGGAACTCAAGCATGTGGGAAGGTTTTTGGGAGGGTCCAGGGAGCATCGTTCAGAGGATCTTGCTGCAACACCATGCACGGAAAACATGCACATTTCTCCCGCAACTGCCACATTGTTGCCGCCTTTGCAAAAGAGGATACCTGGCCTCTGCTGCAAACGTTCGCGGACGAAGTGCAAAAGAGCTTGGTGTCCGCTTCGGTTGGCGGGCGGACGGGAAGAAAACGAGAACTTTGCCGTGCATGTTTGGCAAGAAAGGTAGGAAGGGATTTGTCGGCTTACAAGGCAAACAAAAAGCTCTCCTAACACGGAACCATTCACGTTTTCTCTGCTGACCGAACGAAGAGCATTGCCCACAGGATTTTGTTGCCGCAGGAACCGCACAAAGAAAAAACGCATCTTCTCCGCAATTTTCATAACATTACCGTTTTGCAAAACAGGATTCCTTGCCTCCGCTCTAGACATTGGAGGAAGAAGCACAACAGAGGTTGCTATATGGATCGGTTGGCTGTCGCACGGGAAAAAAGTGTGAACTTTGTGCCGCGCAATTTTGGCGAAAAGAAGCGCACACAGGGGTGCGTCGGCTTACAACACAAAAGAAAAATTTTTCTTTACACGGAAACATTCACGACTTCTTCCGCAGACCGAACGAAGATCCATAGAATCTTGCTACCGCAGAAACCACGCACGGAAAAAAAAACACACAACACTGCCGTTTTGCTTTTGCAAGACAGGATATGTCGCCTCTGCCGTAAATGTTTGTGGAAAAAGCGCAAAACAGGTTGGTACACGGATCGGTCGGCTGTCGCACAGGAAAAAAGTGTGAACTTTGCGGCGCAATTATGGGGGAAAAAAGAGCAAATGGGTTTGTCGGCTTACAAGGCAAACAAAAATCTTTCTTTACACAGAACCATTCACGATTTTGTCCGCTGACCGAACGAAGATCCACAGGATGTTGCTGCCGCAGCAACCACGCACGGAAAAAAACACGCAACATTGCCGTTTTGCGAGACAGGATATGTGGCCTCTGCTGTAGACGTCTGTGGAAGAAGCGCAAAACAAGTTGGTCTACAGATCGGTTGGCTGCCACACGGGAAAAGGTAGGAACTTTGCCGCGCGAACTTGGCAGAAAGAAACGCAAAGGGGTTTGTCGGCTTGCGTCGCAAACACAAGTCTTTCTTTACACGGAACCATTCACGGTTTTGTCCGCAGACCGAACGAAGATCCACAGGATCTTGCTGCTTCAGAAACCACTCACGGAAAAAACACGCAACACTGCCATTTTGCGAGACAGGATATGTGGCCTCTGCTGTAGACGTCTGTGGAAGAAGCACGAAAGAGGTTGGTATACAGATCGGTTGGCTGCCACACGGGAAAAGGTAGGAACTTTGCCGCGCGAACTTGGCAAAAAGAAACGCAAAGGGGTTTGTCGGCTTACATCGCAAACAAAAATCTTTCTTTACACGAAACCGTTGACGATTTTTTCCGCCGACAAAACGAAGAACGTCGTCCACAGGATCTTGCTGCCGCAGAAACCACGCACGGAGAAACACACAAGTTCCCCTTTACACGGAACCATTGACGATTTTTTCCGCCGACAAAACGAAGAACGTCGTCCACAGGATTTGCTGCCGCAGAAACCACACACGGAAGAACACACAACCTTCCCGCAACTGTTTCAACATTGCTGCCTTGCAAGACAGGATACCGGATACCTGGCCTCTGCTGTAGACGTTTGTAGAAGAAGCACAAGAGAGGTTGGCTTACGGATCGATTGGCTGTCGCACGGGGCAAAATGGGAACTTTGCCGCGCAAACTTGGCGAAAAGAAGACCGCACAGGGGTGTTTCGGCTTACAAGGCAAAATAGATATCGTTCTTTACACGGAACCACTGACGAATCTTTCCACAGATCGAACGAAGAACTTCGTCCACAGGATCTTACTTCCGCAGAAACCACGCACGGAGAACACACACACACACACACACATAACTTTCCCGCAACTGAGTTAATCCGACCCTCCACAGCAGCACAACGATATTGGGGTAGGATCGCCGGGCAAGGCAAGCCCGAAGAGGAACACAAGCTGCAAGCGTACCTCTTTTCTCATTACTTGAGCCAAAGATCATGTCATTGGCACATTAAGCTACACAGTCAGACATGTTACCGATACAAGGACAGGGAACGTCGTATTCGATCAACTAACTGTAACTAACTGTTACAACATTGCTGCTTTGCAAAACAGGATACCTGACTTTTGCTGTAGATGATTGCGGAAGAAGCACGAAGCAGGTTGGTATACGGATCGGTCGCCTGTCGGACGGAGCAAATTGGGAACTTTGCCGTGCAAACTTGGCAAAAAGAAGTGCGAAGGGGTTTGTCGGCTTCTAAGGCGAACGAAAATCTTCTTTTGCACGGAACCATTGACGATTTTTCCGCAGACCGAACGAAGAGCGTCGTCCACAGGATATTGCGGCAAGTTTCCCGCAAGTGTCACAACCTTGCCGATTTGCAAGACAGGATACCTTGCCTCTGCTGTAGACACTGTAGACGTTCATGGAAGAAGCACAAAAGAGATTAGTATACGGATCGGTTGGCTGTAGCACGGGAAAGACGGGCAACTTTGCCCCACAAACAGGGCAAAAAGGAAAGCGAAGGGGTTTGTCGGCTTACATCGCAAACGAAAATCTTTCTTTACACGAAACCGTTGACGATTTTTTCCGCCGACAAAACGAAGAACGTCGTCCACAGGATCTTGCTGCAGCAGAAACCACGCACGAAAGAACACACAACTGTTGCAGCATTGCTGCCTTGCAAGACAGGATACCGGATGCCTGGCCTCTGCTGTAGACGTTTGTGGCAGACCAGGCGCCCAGAAAGGAAACATTAAGGGAACCCAGCGGGAGCTCAGGCCCTCTGCTGCGGCCCGCCCGTCCAACCCAGGAGCCCAGAAAGGAAACAGGAAGGAAGCCCAATTGGCAGCACAATCCCTTTGCCGCGGCCCACCCATCCAATCCAGGGGCCCAAAACGGAAACATGAAGGGAAGTAAACGGGATTGCCGCGGCCCAAGGAAACATGAAGGGAGCCCAACGGGAGTCCAGGTCCAACCCACCAGCCCAGCAAGGAAACATGAATGGAGCCCAATGGGAGCCCAGGTCCTTTGCCGCAGCCCACCCGTCCAAACCAGGAGCCGAGGAAGGAAACATGAACGGAACCCAATGATAGACCAGGTTCTTTGCCGCGGCCCACCCGTCCAACCAAGCCCAAAAACTAGTTGAAGGGAACTGAGTGGGAGCCCAGGTCCTTCGCCGCGGCCCACCCATCCAACCCAGGAGGAGCCCAGGAAGGAAACATGAAGGAAACCCAATGATAGCCCAGCGTCCAACCCAGGAACCCAGAAACATGAAGGGGAGCCCAGGTCCTTCGCCGTGGCCCACGCGTCCAACCCAGGAGCCCAAAAAGGAAACGTGAAGGGAGCCCAACGAGAGACAAACCCAGGAGCCCAGAAAGGAAACATGAAAAGTCCAATGGAGTTCAGGTCCTTTGCCGCGGCCCACCCGTCCAACCCAGGAGCCCAGAAAGGAAACCTGAAGGGAAGTGAATGGGAGCCCAGAAAGGAAACATGAATGGAGCCCAATGGGAGCCCAGGTCCTTTGCCGCGGCCCAACCGTCCAACCCAGGAGCCCAGAAAGGAAACATGAAGGGAACCCAACGATAGCCCAGTTCTTTGCCGCGGCCCACCCGTCCAACCCAGGAGCCCAGAAAGGAAACATGAAGGGTCCAATAAAGCCCAGGTTTTGCCGCGGCCCACCCGTCCAACCCAGGAGCCCAGAAAGGAAACCTGAAGGGAAGTGAATGGGAGCCCAGGTCCTTCGCCGCGGCCCAACCGTCCAACCCAGGAGCCCAGAAAGGAAACATGAAGGGAAGTGAATGGGAGTCCTTCGCCGCTCCAACCCAGGAGCCCAGAAAGGAAACATGAAGGGAGCCCAATAAAGCCCAGGTCCTTTGCCGCGGCCCACTCGTCCAACCCAAGAGCCCAGAAAGGAAACATGAAGGGAAGTGAATGGGAGCCCAGGTCCACCCGTCCAACCCAGGAGCCCAGAAAGGAAACATGAAGGGAAGTGAATGGGAGCCCAGGTCCTTCGCCGCGGCCCACCGGTCCAAGTCAGGAGCCCAGAAAGGAAACATGAAGGGAAGTGAAGGGGAGCCCAGGTCCTTCGCCGCGTCCCACCCGTCCAACCCAGGAGCCCAGAAAGGAAACATGCAGGGAAGTGAAGGGGAGCCGAGGTCCTTCGCCGCGTCCCACCCGTCCAACCCAGGAGCCCAGAAAGGAAACATGAAGGGAGCCCAATGAAACGCAGCCAGTTTGCCGCGGCCCAGCCATCCAACCCACCGCGGCCCACCTTTTTTCTGAGGAGAGAACCCCAAACCGTACCTGTTTGGGGAAACAAGCCTCAACATCCTATGTAAACCTTATTTGGGGTCTTAGGCGGAGCTGCGGTCCAACAGCCTTGAGGAGACACCAGAAGGTTTAAGAGAGACATTACCTAACCTCGAAAGCAGCTTATTCTCGGATTTTACAAGAGTTTCCATTGAGGTTCCATAGGGTTCGTAGGGGGCTTGCAGATTCATTGCAGGGGCTTGACCAACTGGCACAGGATCCCTCGTGTACTTCTACTAGTACAGACCCCACGCCCTTTTCTATTTTCAATAGAAAATCTCGAGTTCAGGTCTCTGTGCAAGAGGCGTGTTTCAACTCGCTTAGGTCCCTCATGCTGTGCTGTGCTTACGAAGTCACAACCTTAAGACCGAAACACCTAAGCCCAATGGCCCAAAACCCGAAACACTTCGTTTTTCCCAGTGCCAGGAGCCGCCTCCACTCTACGATCCTTTCGCCGAGCCTCCCCCGACAGTCCCTTTGCTGCTACCATAAGGGTCGGGATAGTGAGCACAAGCCAGTCACAGTATCCCTACGCCAAAACCCAGCTATACCTATTCAGGCTTCTGTCACGATTCATTGGATTTCGATCCTTCTCGTTTGAACGTGCCGAGACTTTCTGTGTCGAGACTTTCCTGTGTGGGGAGTCTCAAACCTCCTTTCTCTCTCGTGGCTGTCGACCAAAGAAGGGGAGCGGTGCTCATTCTCGGAAACGAGGGCCAAGGATGCATTAAGTGGAGTTTGAAGGCTCCAGGGGAGGGCTCATCTAGCAGCAAGGGCAGGGAGCCTAACCTGAGAAGCTGGATCTCTCATGGCCCCAAAAGCGGCATCTTTAAGTCTTCAGTGTTATTTGTCGTGACTTTTATTAAATGAAGAAGGGCTGAGGGCCTGCCGGGGGTTGGTTTAATGTTTAGGGCATAGGTTTCGAATTTAGCGCCCCATGGCTTCAAGGCTTGGAGGGTTTGGGGCCCATGTTGACAGGTTTAAGGCTTAGGGAGTGCAAGCTTTGGCAGTATCGAGTTTTGGCATCCTCTGTCGCTCAAATTTCTGGTTGTTTAAGAGTTGGCCCTAAGCCCAAAACATTAAACGGATAAATCCTTCAAGGTTTTGAACCCCAAACCCGTCACTTCAACTCTAAACCCGCACGACCCTAAGCCTTCAAGCCCAAACGGCTACGATCCAGCTACGACCCCCTGAAAGCTCCAAAACCCCAATCCTTAAACTTACGTCTAAACCCCGAAAGCCCCCAACCCGTCGAACCCTAAACCGCTTGAAACCCGTCTAAACGTTTGTAGAACCTAATGGCCAAACCCTGTAGCCTCCCTACTTGCCACAATCTCAAAACCTCACAGCACCCGCATTAAACCCTTGCTAAACCCACTTCAAATTCAATAACACCCTACAGCCATTATAGCTCCTTATGAAAGCTTAATGAAGCCTTAAACCTGAAACCACCCTCGTAAAATCGAAGAAAGCCCGTGACACCCAGGCCCACTTCTCGTCCGCGGCCTACTCGCAGGAGGTGCAGACGGAGGATCTCCTCCTACCGCCAGGTGGGGGAGGGCTCTAGGGTTTTTAGGGTTTAGGGCTTGATGCCTGTTTTGGGCTCGGGTTTCGGAGTGTTGTTGGGTTTCAATCCAAGGTTGTAGGTGCTTTTGCATGGTTTGTTAAAGAGTTTTGTGAGGCGGGGAAGGGCTGACGTTTGGGAGCTTTTTCGGGGTTTTTGTGAATGGCTCAGGGTTTACTTCAAGATTAGAGGGTTTAGCGTGGTTAGGGTTGCAACGGATTTAGTATTTTTTTGGTGCCTGTGGCATTTAGGGTACAAGGGTTTGGGGGTTTTAGGGTTCCAAGAGAGCCTCGGGGTTTAGGGTTCAAAGAAAGGTTCAGGGTACAAGGGTCAAGGGGTTTAACTGGGATTTTGGTTGACGCTTTCTAGCTACTCCTCCACTGCCCCGAACCCGAAACCCGAAGCAACAAATAGACCCAAACAGACCACCGGAACATCCTCAACTCCTGGCTTTCTGCAGGCTACGGTCGCCAAGAAGAGGACGATCTGCTGGAAGTGCTGGAGGTTGAAGGGCTTCCGTGCAGGGTTAATTATCTTGGGCCGTTTTTGAACTCTACTTTGGACAATCCCGTCTCGAAATCAATTTTGAGTTTAGCCCAGATGCGGGGGATCCCAGCACAGCAGGATCTCTTGCACGAGACGCCCGTGTATGGCGTGCCATGGTCAGCATTTAGGGCTCTTCTTCCTTTTGTGCCCTCGTTATTGCAGGTATCTGAAGGGGCCAAGGCAGGTGCATTGACTCTGCAGTCATCGGTGGTGTGCCTTTATCAGTTAGGGGTCTTGTTGTTTTTTGTTTTTGTGGTAGGTCCGTTTTGGCGTGGTAGCTGGGCACTGCCATCAGCGGCTCTCGGCCCGAGATCGTCTCTGCAAAGGTTCTAGTTGCGCTCCGCACAGCGTATGCGGAAGGAGCCTTTCAATGTATAGCAGCATATTCGCAGCACAGGTTTCTACTCTTACTCGCGATTTATGATGTTGTTATGTAGTAGATTTAACAAGTTGCGAGGGCCGACTACCCACCTGGACCGCAAAACCCTAAAGCCTTTAAGCCCTAGACCCAGACCCTAATCTTTTCACATCGAATCAAAGCCCTTACCCCTAAAGATACTAAAACCCACTCCCACTGTAAACAAGTAAACATGTAAGGCGGAGACTCCTCTGACGCAGCGAACAGGCCGGGCGCACAGGTAACTCAGGGGCCTCAGAGCGGGCTTAGGGTTGAGGGGTTTGGGGGTCTGAGAGTTTAGGTTTTGTCATCAGGTCGACGAATTGGGGTTTACTTGTACTCGGTCGTGTCGGCAACAAGGCAGCAGGCCGCAGAATGATGATCGTGACAGTTCTGATGGTGTGCCTGACGTGATCATGATGGCCATGCTGCTGCAGCTGCTGCTGTTCTTGCTGAAATACTGCAATCAATGGTCGTGGTTCCGTTAGTGACGATGGTGATGACGATGATGACGATCATAGTGGGGCTCATGATGATGGTGATGAAGATGACGAGGAGGATGAAGAGATGACCATGCCCGCAGATTCGCAGGGCTATGGGGTTGTTGATGCCACGGTCTAGGGTTTAGAGATGGTGCTGAGCTCGTGGTGCTGTTCTTAAACTTGTAGTTCAAGCTATAGCTGTGGCTGCTGTTTGGGTTCTCGTGAAGGACGTGCCCACTTTAGGCGATATGTGAATATGTCCTAGGTAGGTACTGTAGTTTCATGTTTTCTTTGGAGTTTTGGTGGTCGGCTTCCACATGATAAGCCTGAATCTCTCTTTAGCTGATGAGACCGGGTGTCGAGGGTTTTTTCCGATCCAGGTTTCAGGGATTCAGGGCTGAGGGTTTAGGGGCTCAAGGCTTGGATTCGTGAGCCCTAAGCTCTGAAGCCTACACCCTGAAACCCAACCCTCAACCGTAAACAAGCACTGAGCCTCAGTCAATCGACCCAATAGCTTAATTCAGGAGAGGTGTACACCGAGATACCCCTCCCAACGGAAGTTGGCACCAAGACGCTGACGTCAGAGGCTGGCGCCCGACCTCCGGGTTCGGGGTTCTCACGTTTTTGTCTGGGTGTTTTGACGGTTCACGGCCTAGGGTTAAGGCTTTTGAGAGCTGGGGTTGCGGAGAGTAGGAGTTGGAGCTCAGGGTTTTGGGCTTGAGGCACTGGCTTCTGCTTCACCTGAAGGTCCATGCAAAAGCAAGGGGTCCACTGTGGTGTATCGTCCTCCGCAGAGGGGCCGATGTGGGTAGCAGTTTACCTGAGGGGAGGGTACGATCTGGGTGGTCGAAGTCTAGCTTTGCAGTTTGAGGTCGTCAGCCCTGAGGTTCTAAACCCATGAACTGCTGCACGAGTTTCCATTGCCATAATGGTTGTTACTTTGTGACATCTCCCTCCCCCAGCTACATGTCGGCATATCCAAATAGCTTCTGAACCGCGAACTCGTCTACTTCTCCTGACCCTTCTCGTGCTAAGCTTAGACTCCGGATTTTTTGGAGCTCTGGAGGTTCCACCATGGATTCCAGGAGTCAGGGCTGCAGCCCAACCCCGAATCCCCTTACAACCTGAGCCTTAAAATGTCCAGCGAAACGCTCTGAACCCCAAACGTGCCCGCCGAAGCCCTAATTTGTCAACCTTTCGTTCAAAAAGGCTTTTTTGTTTTTATGCGGCTAAATCTCAAACACATAGGGCCAAGTTTGAGGGTCGGTAGTTGTGAGGTGGCCTCCTCACAGATTCCAACGATCTCGCCGCACGCCCGACGCCCAAGTGGGAGCTTTCTTAGACTTGAGGGTTCTGTAAGGGTTTAGGGTTTAGTGTTTAGGGTATGAGGGCTTTAGGTTGCAGGAATGGTCTAGGTCACTTCAACTTCAGCTCTCGGATAGATTAGATTGAACTCGAATCTCCCGGTTCATGTCAGGGTCCTCCAGCCTGACGGCCAAATCTGTGTCCATACGATAGAGGAGTTATGTGTAGTAGTATTCCCCAGGATCTTGCAGATTCCCAGTATAGATATAGCTTATTCCCTAAAGCCTAAAGCTTAAGCCACACCTTAAACCCAAATCCCTATCCCTAGTCTAATTTCTGAACCCAAGACCTTAAACCCAAATTCTGAATCTCAAGAACGTTCGGGGTTTACGGGCTGAGGCCTTAAGGAATTCAGGAATGGGACTCAGGAGCTATCCTGAAGAGTTGTGTAAGGTAAGGCCAGTAGTGCCAGTAGACACTGACATCGACTCCTCTCTTCTGCTTCGCACCCTAGAAACAGCAGGCAGACGGCCGTCGTGCCCCCTTGGCTGCAATGATTGCTTTTTCGGAAAACAGGGTTTCAAAGCGGGGGTTTGGGTGACAGATGTACCTTTAGGACTGTTTTCGTCAGGGTACCTGCCAAAATTGTGGAGTGTTCGCACAAGTTTCCGTCGGAGATGTCGGTGCGTCGTCTTGCTGGAAATCAGAGCTGGCTTGGTTTGCAACTCTTACCCACAGCCTTTTGATCCTAAGTTTAATCCCGAAAGCAACACATCCCCGAACCCCAGACCCGAAATCCTTGACACGACCTCACCTCTTGACAGAAACTCGGAAATGTACATACCCTCACCCAGCAGACTCATACGACGTATATCAGTGTATTAGGAAAAACTTTCTTAAGCCTGTCAAGCAGATGTTTAAAACCTTGGTCGCTCGCCCTCATACCAAAACCCCAATCAGTAAGCCTTATCCGCAAACTCCAAGATACAAGCACGAAGCCTAAACCTCAAACCGCAAACCGTAAACCCTGAACCCTAAACCATGACCCTAAGAAGCCCCATTGCACTTCAAAATAACCCTGACTGTTGAAGGTGTTCACCCTGGGTGGCCATACCCTGCAGCGAAGCTCACGCAGAATGTTTTCTATGGCTGGGCGCAGAGGCGACTCACGATCTCAACGAAGCAACAAGAGAACCGACAAACCAACAAACGACCTGTACAGCTTTACAAGTTGTTGGTTACAGTACACATGGCTCAAGAGGCTTTCCTACGCAGCCTTCCCCTAAGCCAAAGGATACAGGAAACACACATGTACAAGCCTACCTGAAGGAAACTATACAAGTGCCGGCAATCCCTTCAAGCAGACTACACACCTGTCTAACCTGATACCTGGGCATGCAGTGAGAAGCATTTCAACACTCCTCCTTGCTAGAGCCGACAGGCAACTAGCACACGCTGCACTATTTACAGCATGCCCGTTCCTGGGACCTCTAGCCTTGAACCTTGGCTTGCCTTTAGAGACCTGTGCGGTGGCGGTCTCTGCAAACACGGCACAAGTTGCGGGTAGTTAAGGGTGTATTACGCCTTAAACCCCAACAATTAGAATCTAGATGAACACAATCCCCGTGCGCAGTGAAGTAAAAGGGACCTTGGGGAAGTTCATACTGCGTGCGGATTTCGATCCTGGCAGGCATCGGATCTGGTGGGACTCCTGTGACTGGTTGGAAAGCAGGCTCACGATCCGTTTGAGTAGACTGCTCACGCACTGCAGGGCGGCGACGAGACTGTGTGGCCTTGGGCCGTGGTGCAGCAGGCAACTCGTGGGAGGACTGCGAAGGCACAGGTGCCCTCTCGTTGTGAGCTGTGGACTCACCTGCTGGTGGTCTGGAAGACACGTCCTCAAGACTCATGCCCTGCAGTTGGGCAGCAAGCTCATCCTCAACAGCTCTCTGCATACGCCTCAAACGACGGGCTCGACGAGACGACGCATGCGAACCAGCCCACCACGCATCAAGCCGATCCCACAATCTCTTCAACCACTCCCACACAACAAGGACACAAACCAATGCCATGCCAAGAACGAAGTACAGCTCCAGGGATCCATCAAGCTGCAAGCCAGGATACTCGGATTCACGGCTTGAGCTTCGTGCAGGTTGGATTTGAAGCAAACACAACAAGGCACTCAACGCGACTGGGTCGACAGCTGCTGACGAGCTCGGCCTGACCTCTCGGTCGGCTGTATCACCCGCAAAGTCACGCATGCCCCATAACCTGACAAGCTCTTCAATCCTTGCAGACGGAAGAGGTTTGGTCAGTAGATCTGCAAGCTGTTCCACACCCGGGCAGAAGGCAAGCCTCAGCTTCCCAGAGCGAGTCTGCTCACGAAGGTACTCAGCTCTTACCCGTAGGTGTCGCGTTCTCCATGATCCATGACCGTCAGAAATCGCAAGTGACGCTTGGGAATCAACGTGCAAAACCCTTTCTTCCGCAACGTCAAAACCAACCGTGTGAAGCAACGCCTCAATTGATTCAAGCGCGATTGCACACTCAATCGAAGCAGTGAGTTCACTTTCAGCAGTAGAAAGTGTCACAAAAGCTTGACGCGCCGACCTCCAAGCAACTGGACATCCATGCACACACACGCACCAGCCTCCATGTGAGCGAAGGCCTTCTGGCGAGAAGCTTGCGTCACTCCAACCGTGAAGTTGGGTTCCGTCCGCCTCAAACACCAGCGACGCTGTCTTGGTTCGCTGCAAGTAAGCCAAGGCACGGTCAGCAATGCGTAGAGCACGACAAGGCGCCTTCGTAGACAAACTAGCAAGCAAGCTGGCAGTGAACGCCAGGTCCGGGCGAGTACGTTGAGACAACCACAGCAGTTCACCAGTCACCTGTTGCGCGCGGTGAACGGCCTCCCCGTCAGGGGGGCTGGAGTCTCCTTCGCCAACTTCAAACGACGCTAGCTCCCGAGGACAAGGGATTCTACCCCTCACGTGGCAAGGTACCTCATGAAGCCGCAAGACTTCTTCTGCGTACGACTGCTGTGAGAGAACAAACCCACGAGGAATGACAATGATGTCCACGCCAAGGAACTTGATCGGCTGCTCTGGGGTAGCTACCACAAACGGTGTTGTGGCCCACTTTTCTTGCAGAGCCTTTGCCAAACTTTGAAGGACACCTAGCGACCCACACAACAAGAAGTCATCAACGTACACCAACAATGCGCCCTCAACGCGACCACCTTCAACCCTGACGACTTTCCACCAGTTCGGGTCTAGGGTCGAAGGCTCAAGCCGGTAGGTCACGCCGTCAAGGTCCCACACCAACGCTGCCAAACAAGCATCTCGATACTGTCCCCACAAGCGCGGGGCCTCTCGAAGGCCGTAAACCGCGTGGGATAGTATCCACAGCTCATGTGCAACTGCAAGACCAAGCTTGACCAACAAGCGGGGCGGGGTCAACGCAAAGATGGGGAAACCTTCAAGACAAGGAATAGGCGTTTTGAGGAACGCGCTGGTGATATCCAACACTCCCAACAACCAACCAAAGAAGCTTGCCAGGGCAATCACTGTTCTCAAGCTCTCAGCCTGAGCACCTCCAGCATACACATCCAAGCCTGTATTTGGCGCCACATTTCCGCAAGCAACAAGTCTCGCTTTCCGACGGTACAAACTTTGGCCTTGCGACGAAGCCTTTGGAGCGCCCTGAAGGGCCTCTGTACTGTTGTCGGGCTGAGTGAGCGCAAGCTTCCCAGTGTCACCAACAGCTGCTGCCCCTTGGTCGGGCGGTTTCACTGTGAACACAAACTTGGAAGGTACCACCTGCAGTCGAGGATCACTCAAGTACTCGGCCTGCCTGGGGTCTGAAGGGCGCAGTCTGAGCACCGCATGCTCAATGGCCTTTACTTCTTTCTCAATGGACGGAATCCAAGGGATTGGATTGAGTGCGACTTCTGCGGGGTCTACAGTGTGAACGATTTGCAGAGGTGAGCTTAGATTGCTTAGAAGGTGTTCTATGTTCTTCGTGAACGTCGGTTCGGCTTTGCACAGGCGGTAGGGGATTACGGGTCTACCTTCGCTTACGAAACCCTCCTCCTCTAACGAGCTCCGCGAACCACTTTCTACAACCTTAAGCACCCTCAAACTGCAGTTGCTGGCGTTTGCGGCATCGCTCATGGGCTCCTGCGGAACATACATGTCCCAAGACACAGTAACCGGCCAGGCCTCATCAATCTCAACGGGTCTTTGGTTCTGCTCTGGTCCGGCCTCCTCTTTAGAGGGGCTGCATACAGGGGCAACTGGCCGATACGAACACGACCAGTTCACAGCGAAGTCTACAAACCCATCTGCAACTGGAAAGACCTCTTGCCAACCACCACCTTTGTTGACGGGTTGGCTCTCCGGGAAGCTAGGGTGTTGATGGATAGGGATCTCATGAGCCTCAGTGGCCTCCTCCTCCTCCTGTACTTGAGACAGACGCGGGGCCTGGAGATAGGCGGAGTCTGGGAGAGGAAATCCCAAATCTGCTAAGCCGTCAAGGTCATCTTTTTCGGCCTTTCCAAGCACGTCGGAAGTGTAGCCTATAACAACGACGCGGGTGCCCTTGAAGGGAGTTACGAAATGATGCCGCTTAGGATCAAACTCGAAAACTTCATCCTCTTCAAGTCTGTGCACCACACCGTGACGCTTGCGACCTCGTGCATCAGTGTGCTCTACAATAGACCCCCTAACAACATCCCCACTACCTAACTCAACCCAAAGATCGCCCCCACGCTTAGGAAGACACACTGGTAGGATGAGATTTGTAGTTCCCGGAAGGTTGGAAGAATCAGTGTGAATGTCCTTTTGACACGAGTTGGACAAACACACCGACGTGAAGGTAGCATCAGGTGCGTGATGCTGCAACAGGCGCGCGCACAGTGAGGCAAGCCACGGCTTACTCCAAGTCGATCGCATACAGCCTACTATCCCTCCCCTACGGAACATTCCAGCTTGATACTGCTCTTCGGGGTAGGCTTGGCAAACTTGCATGAGGAGATTCTTGGCAGCCTCAGGATCCCATTCCTGCAGCAAAGTCTTTGCGCCAGCTTCAAGCTCAGACCACGTCCATGAGCCGAGCTGGGCAGCTCTCAGCTCTGCTTCTGGCGGGGACTTTCCTACAACGCGACGCCTTACAGGGACAGACTCGCCCTCAAACTGCTCAGGGCACTCAGGAGGCTCAACAACCTTAGTTCTCACGTGCAGCGACTGTGTGAACCCATTGCCTTTGCCATCATCCCTGTACACCAAATGACCTTCATTAACCGTTGGAGATAAACCCGCATACCGACCTGAAATCCACCGTTCGGCAATCTCGCCCTTAGCAGCTGCAACAGACGTGTAGGCCTTCACGCGCACCAGGCACTTAGCACCAAAAGGCGCTGCAAGCTTCGTGGCCATACCTAGTACCTCAGACCTCTGCTGTGCTGCAGCAGCTCGCATTGCACATGCCCACAGGGGCGGCGGGAAATCAGCAGCTCGCAGTAGAGTTCGTGCCCGAGTC